TATATTTATTTTTTTATTTTTTTTTTTATGTAGTATATACACCAACATATAAAATATATGACATGTAGGAATGTGTCCAAAATGCTTTACTTGCTACAGTCTGAGGGGGAAAAAAGAGTGGACATAGATTGAATTGGAGTTCATAGCAGGATACTGACAGGAGATGCTGATGGAATTATCTGCAGAGAGATGAGTCAGGGATTCAGGGAAGGTTTGGGAACAGTGTCTAAACGGTAAACACTCTAAGCTTAGAGTGCTACATCCTGCATCCTCACAAGTATACACTGATTTTGCCCCAACTCCCCCCTTAGCACCACCCTCTGTGGTGCCGCAGTGATCTAAAATAGACCACCTCTCAGTTCTGCAGTACCTACATCTACTCCCCAGGGGTCTCTCTACCCACACCTGCCTCTGTAGAAATGGCTCACATAAGCAAGAGGAGATGCGTTTCCACGTGTGCATACTGTATATGAAGGGAAACAGTTGTTTTTGTGTGGGGCAGAGGGCCGAAAGATAATGAAATCTGAACAGAGAAAATGCACGGAGAAGGAAGAAGCCTGGGATAAGTGATAGCTGGCACACTGATGACGAAAATAGGAATTTTGTCTGGAATTTTGATCTTTTTAGTGACTTGAGACCCTCAAGTCATGAACCTGATCTTTTTAAGCAGGTTAACATTTGGACCATCTGTGTTTTCTTTCTGAAACTGAAATTAGTCTAAATTGAAAGGAAACGCTCATGCAGCAATTACACGCATGTGTTCACATTGCACTTAAGATTATCCAGGCACAGCTCTGACTTCTGGAAAACCAGTACGGCAGTTAGAGTGCACATACAACCCTGGTTTTAGAAATGACACGGCCACTCTGTTGCAATCACCGAATTAGAGAAGGAGAGACAGATGCCGCTGGCAGCAGACAGGGACGAGGGGAAGATGGGACAAATGAGAGGGGTGTGGTGGTGACGGTGGGGGTTGCAGAAAAACGGCAAAATCAAAATAATAACAGAGCGAAAGCAAAATTGTGGGAGGCAGAAGTCCTTAGTGAGATGAATCAATTGTGTGCATGCGTGTTCTCCTCCTACTGCCACATCTGCCATCTCATCCACAAACCCTGACTAAATCTCCTCCCTCCTCTAACTTTCACTTCTGAATCAGCCACTTCCAGCAACACAATCCAATACAAGATCCCTTTTACCAGCCAAATAATTTGTGGATAATGATCATCCACCGGTACTTCTCCCTCTAGTGGCAGGCTTCTTCAAAAATGGGTTCATCCTCCTCATCCTCTGTGTCCTCTCCATGAAAATGTTCCTTTCCTTTCTTGTTTCCATCATTCTTTCTCTAATCCCTTTCCTTTGTCTCACTTATCCATTTCCTCGTGCTTGCTCCTTTCCATCTAACTGCTCTTCTTCTCTGCTTGTCCTTCCCTTATTCTCAAACAATCCTTCAGCCACACTTGGCGCTGTCCTTTTTCTCACCTCCCCTTGCCAAAACTAATTTTGATGTCTTTGTTTGCTAATAACTTCCATGCCCTATTCTTCCCTTGCACGTATATCCCTTCTTTTCATCTCCCGTTTCCCTCGTTCTTTATAAATTCTTCCTCAGCTACTATTTTTCTCCTTCTATTCGCTATGCACTGCTGTCTTTTCTTGTCCATCCAAACTCACCGTTACTTCTCCCCTTTCCTCACATATCTCTCACTTGCCCCGTTAATCCCCCTGCCTTTGTTTTGTTTTATTTACCTTCACTCAATTTTACCTCTGTATTCTTCATCTCCCCACGACGCAGCAAGTTTATTACTAGGATATTAGATGTAGTACACAGGCACTTCCACACAGTCTAAGTGTGTGGCAGGCAAAGTAATAAATGCTCAGAGTGTAGAGTGTGTACTGTATGTAAATGTGTGTATTCCTTCCCTGGTGATCAGCAGTGAGTGACAACATCCTCATCAACAACCAAAGACAGCAGAGAAATCAACAAGGAGGCTTCTTACCTAACTACTTGAAACAAAAACAAAAAAAGAGGGACAAGAGGAAGAAAACAGGATCTGATGGAAACCACAACAAAGAAAATTTGACTATAAATTTAATTTTAGCAAAACATATGTGCAGTGGCAAGGGAAAAAGTGGCACAACGTCCTGTTGGACAGGTTTTTTAATGTCCTCTACACTGCAATTTCTAAAACCCAAATTCCTCTGTGTCCTGCTTGTGTGTTTGCATCTGTTTGTATTCGGATCCTTAGAGAAATAAGTCATTCTGTGTGAAACAGTGACGCTTCTCCCTTCTCGCTCCTCTCTCCTACCAGCTGAAGCCTGCTCTGCATAAGAATGGGGAGGGGGGGATAAATTAAACAGCTGGGCCCTTCTCCTCTCCTTCTCCACTATTATCGCGCTCACTCCATTCCCAGGACTGTTCTCTTCGCTTGATATGAAAGATGGAGGAACAATGCTCTCGTACCTGGTGCTCAAGTAAAATCTGATATACAAGAGAGGGAGAGAGTGATAAACTAGTAAACCAATCAGTGGTTCTATTACTTTGAGGGATGTATTTTTTTCCTTTTATAGCCAATGTTCACCAATGGAAAGCAGTGCATCAGATATAAGGAAATATTCCCTTAAAGGGTCCACACACTTATGCAAGGAATACAGTTTAACAATATATTAGCCCTGATGCATCATGAAAGTCTTTGATGCACTCAAAGACTTTCATGATGCATCATGATCTTTGTTCATACTAGGACCAGAAGTGAGGCTCTATGAATGGATTTGTTATTGTTGACTTCTATGTTAAATAATAATGTTTAGCAGACACAGCTCTGCGCTTTATGCAATCATGGGTGCAATCACATCCCAGGGTGAGCGGCACAGCCTAGCAGACTGTGCATGTCAACATTAGCGGCTGGACCACAACGCTTATGTTTGTATGTCTGCAGAGCTGAGCTGAAGGTGTCACCCGAGTCTCAAGTCTCATACCGTCCTCCCTGAAACACCGCTGCTGAGGACAGACACGTGTCTGTCCTCAGCCACCTGGAGCATTGGCGGGATTAAAAGCTATGATCAGACTGGTTTTGGGTAGGTATCACAGCTGTGTTGCTAGGGGCAAGGCAAGGGCACGCTGATTAACTGGCACCCTGGGGAGACACAAAGCAAGGTAGGGGAGGCAGGGGACCTGCGCAGCATGCCAGGAGTGCAGAGTGTGTCTGAGAGTGTCGGAGATTTGGATGTTTTGATAATCCAGCATATGAATCACACACTGTGTCTTTGCGTATCAGTACAAACGTCCATGTCTGTGTGATTACATGCGATTGTGTTTGTAGCAACTCTCCAAGGAGCCAACTGCATATCATGTAGCTCTGCAGGCAGCCAGATGCCCTTGTACAGGACACCCACATTGGAAATCCATCCATAAGAATGGAGATTACATTGGAGACGATTGGCCAGCAGCCATCCCGCTCTTCCTCCTCTCACAGAAACCTCTCTCCATCAAACTCGCCTCATTCTGCTTTTCATTTGGTAACTTTAGATGGATTGCTCTCTTATCCACTGGGTGTTTTCGAGAGCAGATTGGCATAAGAAACCACAGCCTTATGTACTGTAACCTCGTGCTACTAGATGCATCTCTTGTGTTGTTCTTAAATGCTTGCTCCTGTTTTTTTTTTCTTTTGTTCGGTTCTTTTATTAACAAATGTGATCAAATTGTGATTTTATAGCAATTCCAACAGGTGTTTGGGAAAGATGGCAAGTGATGCCAGTGCAGAGTCAAATTTCAGTCTATTTTTCTGGGAGATGATGTTAAAGAGTCAAAAATTGACAAAATTGAGATGATAAGATGGCAGTTTTGGATCTGTTTTTTTCTCCTCCATCTTTTTTTTTAAACCAGAG